TTTTCTTTAATGAAGAGTGTTGATGAGTTGGGTTCTGGTTAGTTGAACTGTAGTATGTAAATCAATTTAATTGTGCACCACTTCTGTCAGATAAACACCGAGCACCTGGCATGGTTTGCTTGAATACCTTTGTTTGTTTGGTTTTGAAAAACTCTTTCCCCTTGGTGGATTTTTCTCATTGCAAATTCCTCAACTTGGTCTGTAGGTAGCTTGCATTTTCAGTTGAAAAGTTGTTTTTTTTTTTTGGTTTTTTTTTCAGAGGGTTTAGATTTAAATTGCCAGACTTAATAGGATTATTTTAAATGAATCTGAATCAATGGCAGCCAATGGATGAATGGGCTGGCTCATCATCCCTTGTCTTCATTTTTATATTTTATAAAAGGAGAAAAACAGGAAGTATTCCAAAATTGAGTCAGGAGTGGGCTTTGAGGGACAGATACTGGGTGGGAATCAGAGGATCCTCAGTGGTCACCCTTCACCAGTTATTGTATTCTGAAGGGCATCGTCCTCACATCGTGTGCTGCCTGTTGTCAAGGAGTAGAAAAGAAATGAGAGCCTCCTGAGCATTATCTAGTGAGAAAAAAACACTGGAAAAGAAGTGCCTGTGATTAGACTAAGGGCGGAGAGCAGTGTGTGAGTTGAGCAGGTGGGAATGACACCAGTGCATTGCAATGAAGTCTAATAGAAGAGGCTAAGGGAGGTCTTGGAATCCTGGCCAACTGTAGTCTTTGTTGAGTTTCTGTTATGACATATAGGCTGGACCACTTATAAACAACAGAAATTTATTTCTCTGGAAGCTGGGAAGGTGAAGATCAAGGCACCAACAGATGCAGTTTCCAGTGAGAGCCTTCTTTGTGGTGCATAGATGATAGCTTTGTGCTGTGTCCTCACATGGACTAAGGGGCTGGCTAGGGTTCTGAGCCCAATAAGGAAGAACATGCTCTTATGACCCCATCTCCTCAATGCCGTCCCCCGTGGGGCTAGAATTTCAATGTATGAATTTTGATAGGGCGAAACTTTCAGACAGAGCTATCAAGCACTTCATGGATTCGTGTTATTTTATAGAATTATACTTGTTACAGGCCAGGCCAGCAGATGGTTCAGTAAGTAAAGGCACTTTCTGCCAAGCCTGACAACCTGAGTTCAATCCCCACGACCCACATGCTAGAGGGAGAGAACTGACTCCTGCAAGTTGTTCTCTGACCTCCACATGTATGCCATGGTACACACATGCCTACAAACACATACACATACACACACACAAACAAATAAAATAAAAATTTATATAAAAATTATACTGATTGTATATATTTTTATTTTCATAAGCACTATAACTTTAAAAAAGAATTCTTTTGTGAGCATGTGTGTGTGAATGTGCAGGTACATGTATATATGTATGTGTGTGTGTGTGTGTGAGGCTGACCATTTGCTCTGTTATTCCTCAGGTGCCATCTCTTTTTTTTTAATATTTTATTTACTATTTTTTATTTTTACTTTATGTGTATGCCTGTATTGCCTGCATGTAGGTAAGTGCACCTGTGTCATGCAATGCCCACAGAGGACAGAAGAGGCCGTCAGATCCCCGGAACTGGAGTTTCGGACAGTTGTTAGCTACCATGGGGTGCTTGGATTCGAATCCAGGTCTTCTCCAAAAACAGCCAGTGCTCTTAATCACTGAGCCATCTCTCCAGCCCTGCCATCTTTTTTTTTTTTAAAGACATGGTCTCTTTTAGGCCTGGCACTTACCAAGCAGGCTAGACTGGCTGACCATCAAGGCCCAGGGATCTGCCTGTCCCTGCCTCTCCCTGGCAGGCTGTATACCACTAAGCCCTGTTCTTATTTTGAGACAAGGTCTCTCTGTATTCCCAGCAGGCCTGGAACTCACTATGTAGACCAGGCTGGCCTCGATCTCACAGAGATTCGTCTGCCTCTGCCTTCTGAGTGCTGGGATTAAAGGCATGTACCATAGGCCTGGCATATTCCGTTTCTTTTTTAATGTCAGTTCTAGCGATCAAACTACCCCCTTGCAAGCACTTTACTGACTGTGCTTTCTCCTTGGCCCTTAAAAAGGGTTTCTGAAGTTGGAGTACCACTGATATTCTGAATCAGCTAGTTATTTGTGGCAAGGATTTTGTGAGCATTATGGGTTATGAAGCAGCATCTAGGGTTATGAAGCAGCATCTCTGGCCTCTAGGCCCATCCCACGCTCCCTGCCTGTACCCTGTCCAATAGGATCATCCCAAATGTTTCTAGACCTACCAAATGCTCCTGGGAGGAGGACATGGCCCCCAGTTGAAGACCACTACTTTTAAAATTCATAATTTCCATTACTTTTTCCCCAGAGTACTGCAGTTTCTCTTGGATTGTGCTCTTGGAAAGGCCATCCTGGCTTTTTACATTTAAACTACAATGTTCAATTGTTTGTAGATCTTTTATTTAGAATCTAACAATCAGAAGAGACCCAAAGACACTTTGTTCGGTTATTAAAACAAAGCCTGTCTTCTCCCAAAAGTGATACGTGGAAGATCCTGTTCACTCAAATGTAACCATAAAAGAGGGCTGGGAAGCCTACAGGGTGGTGTGATAGATTTCCCAGTGGCATTTTAGCGACACAAAAGCTTTGCTAGACAAAAACCATCTAGGTTTCTGCCCAGTTAAGAGATTTAATGTCATTCCTAAGTCAAATGTCATATTTGTGCCATTATAGACAGCATGCATACAATTTAAATATTTTAGCTTCCATTATATAACTGTGGCTACATTACTGACCTTCAAGGGCGTCATTCATGGGGGAAGAGGCCAGGGAACAATCAGTTACTTCATGCAGGGCTGGCCAGCAGACTGGTTTCCTCGAATTGCTAGACAAACCAGGATACAGGGAAGGCTTTGGGGCGGGTCTCATCATGACAAAGAGTGACTGGGGGTAGGGACACCCTTCTGGAGCAGGGAGGGAGCAAAGACTTTTTAAACCCCCTTTTTCTTTTCTGGTTTGAAAAAGAGCTATCTGTCTTTGTTCTCAGGGAGAATGAAATATCCATTAAGACTGGTGACACTGGGAATTTTGTTTCGGTAAGTTCCTTTTGTTGCAGCTCCAAGGCAAAGGAGAGGAATCTGGGGTGAGGAGGTTTCAAGCCAAGATGAGAGAAGAAAAAGAATTCCTTCCAAAGATTTCATCTATTGTTTCCCAGCGAATAAATATTTATAGAGCAGGTTCAAGTGAAGCCTGCTACAATGGTCACGGCTTTAAGACCAAGCCTTCCAGAAAGCACATCTACAACTATGTCTAAATGAAGCGTGATCCAATTAGACTTCCCAGAGGAAAGCAAGAAACCTCAAGATAATTTCCTACAGAAAATCCAATTGTGTCTTGGAGTGGAATAGGAACACCAGTCTGAAATTATCCTAGATCCATAGGCTGCTGCAAAAAATGTACAGCTAAATTAGATTCTATTTTAAGTAATTAAATTATTTCCCTTCACAGGATCTATAATTTGTCTCAAACAAATGTGATTTGCCTTAGGAAGATAAGGCATTGCAATTTTTCCTTACAAAGTGGATTTTCTGTGCCAGAAACAATTACTAAAAGTAGACCAAATATTGTCTAAATTATATCCCATTTACTATCTGAGTTCACTCCGGTGTTCCAAAGTGTGGGAGGTAGGGCCACTATAGTTATCTTTAAATGGAGACCAGAGCTGAAATTTACTCAAGAGCTTGCACAATGATAGTGTCGATAGCTCTGGGGTGTTACATAAGGCTCTAAAATTTGTGCAAAATCAGGCAATGGAGAGCTTGCTTCAGTTGATCTTTGAGTTTGAATTTTTAGCTGCTTTAGCTGAGCCCTTCAGGGGGTGCTAAGTATTATAATAGCCAGAATAAAAGTGTTGAGATTTGCATAGACGATATGGCAAGGGGGTATTTTAGGTAAGGCTAATTTTGTGAAGAAAACATTCACTTTTGGTCTTGTGTTCAGTAACAATTCAGTTGACATTGGACCAGGTGTTCTGGGGGACAATAGTGAGTAAGATGGATAAATGGCATCGGTTCTGGGTTGTGTCTGTTGAAATGCAAGTAACAGAGCAACTCTGAGCTTTGGTCCCCACCCCCATGAAACAGAGAGATGATATCTACAGTGGATGAAACAGTGCTTAGCATGGCATCCACCCGGACTGAATGGAGAAAAGCAGGGACATGCAGACACTACTGTGTGTCTTTCCTGCTTTACACAGGTCCTTCTGAAAGACTATTTCATGAGAATGGGTACTGTAGACATTCCTAAGCTTCCATTAGTCGAAAGTGGCTTAGTTAAAGCTGCACATTCTTGACACCCGGTTTGAAAAACTGGCTCTGTGGCTTGCTAACATGCCTTCAACCAAGTTACTTAGGCTCTTTCTGTGCTGTAGTTCCCTGCTCTACAAATGTTAATAGAAAAAGATTAAGTAAAATATCATATGAGGACCCAAGTTGGATTCTCAGGAGCAGAAAGTGCAGCCGTTAGGATAAAAGTGAAGTGAAATATTATAAAATATCTAGGCGGGGCTGGAGAGATAGCTCAGTGGGTAACGTGATTGTTGCTTAAGCGTGCAGACCCAAGTTTGACCCCCCAGAACCCTCATAAAAAGCTGTGCATGGTGGTGCCAGTTTGCAATCTTGGACTGAAGAGATAGTGACAGGCAGATCCTTGGGGCTCCCCGGCTAGCCAACCTAGCATGCTTAGTGAGTTCCAGGCCACTGTGAGAGACCCTGTCTCAAAAACCAAGATGGAATGGCACCCAAGGAGCAACATCTGAAGTAGGCCTGACCTCTAAATGCATGTGCACACATGTACCTGCACACACAGTCACACAGATACAGACACAGACACAGACACACAGAGACACACACACACACACACACACACATGAGACTATCTGGTATGGCATAAATGTATCCATTATTCCAGTTTTCCAAACATATTATTACTGACAGCCAATAGAATCAAAATATAACATAAGACTAAGTAAGTTTATCATGGACTTTTATTAACAATACAAGACTGTACATTGTAGGTGCTGAAATCAATCCACTCTTGAAAACTGGAACATCAATATTTCTATACCACTTCAGGCTTTGGTTCTAAGTGCCATCTTCTATAGAAAAATCACACACTGTAACAAAAACAACATAAAAACAGGGATGGGGGTGCTCCTCTGGAATGGAGAGATTATGCAGCAACAGCTGAGGATTGCTTCTAGCTTTAGGTGATTCACCACACATTTTGGAATGTTCAGTTCCTTCCTCTACAAACAGACACACAGCAACTAAGAACCTGGCCACAGGTCCTGCCTAGACACTCATTCACATGAAACAAACAAACAAAAAAACCCCCACAATATTTATATAAATTAAGTCAATTAAACCTCACAAAACTAAAGAAACATAAACTCCAACAGTCAATAAAAAACTGTACAAGATCAGTCAGTCTTTTACATCTGAAAAACGTGTAACTTAAAGAAATGTTCTTCATCATATATAGTCTTTTATGTATGTGTGTTAGCTGGAATGAAAACTTGAAGACTCTGACTCCGTTGAGACAGAAGAGTGTCCACCCCGCTTTCCTTTGGAGAGGATCTTGAGGCTGGAGCCTCTGCTCACGGAAGTGAGTGCATGCTGGGCAGAGGTCTTGAATTTGGCTCCAAGGAAGGCATAAAGGATAGGGTTCAGGCAACAGTGGAAGAAGGCCAGGGCCTCAGTGATGGAGATCCACATGTGCACAATGCTCTCAAACTCACACCCTTGCTTGATGACCTCTAGAAGGATGAAGGAGTCGATGCTGATTCCCACGTAATACGGCAGCCAGCAGGCAAAGAAAGCCAGAATGAGAATGACTGTGGTCTTGAGGGCTTTGCGCTTCTGGTGGCCCTTGGAGTGTGACAGCTTGGAGATGATAATGCAGTAGCAAGACAAGATGACGATGCCTGGCAGAATGAGGCCGACCATGATGTGCTGGAACTGGAACACCACCACCCACAGGTCATTAGGGTAAAAGCGGTCGCAGATGTACTTCCCCTCTGCCTCTTTGACATCCGCAAAGATGAAATCAGGAATAGTCAGCAGGAGAGCAGGGATCCAGACACCCACGTAGACTGCCTTTTCAGCCAGCAACTTCCTTGGCCTCTGACTATTGGTGGCATGGACAATTGCCAAGTACCGGTCAAGACTGATGAAGGCCAGAATGAGGACACTGCTATAGAGGTTGACAGTGTAGATGACATGGACTGCCTTACACAGAAATTTCCCAAAGTACCAGTTAGCCATGGCATCAACTGCCCAGAAGGGAAGTGTGACGACGAAGAGGAGGTCAGCTACCGACAGGTGCAGCCTGTACTTGTCAGTCATGCTTCTTAGCTTCTTTTGGTAACCCATGACCAGGATTACCAATCCATTGCCCACTATGCCAGTGAAGAAGATGATGAAGTAGATTGTCGGCAGGAAGATCCGGTTAAAATGGGCATTATCCTCTCGGAAGCACGGTTCCTTCATGGAGTCATAGTCTCCAGACCCCAGTTCTTCTGAGTAGTTATCAGAAGTGTACATCTGCAAAAGAAATGGGCAAACAGTTCATTTTCAAAGTCAGCAAGCATTTCCCAGGATTTAGAAAGTGTTTCTGGTGCCTGAAAAACTAGCAATTTATTGTTGTTTTAGAACCCAGCCCTTTTCAGGAAACTCCAAAGGGCGGGAAAAGGCCCAGGAGAATTGTAACAGAATTCTACAAGCAACTATTCTCTCCATCTTCCCCCACAGTCACTTCCTAATATCCCTCTTTAGTGCAACCAATTAGGAGAGCCTTTGTTTAGAACAAAAGGACCCAGAGATTCTGAGTTTCAAAGTCACATCTTGGCTAATTCTCCTGCCCCCGCCCACTAGGGAAAAAAAAAGAATTAGAAAAAAAAAGCTGGCAAAACCAAACCAAAACAAAACAAACCAACATCAAAACTCCATTCACACAAAGAAGTCACTTCCAGGGGAGTGGGATGGAGGCGATGTGGGGCTAGAATCTGTGCTGGGGGAAGAGATGGGATTAAGTTTTTGTATAAGATTAGCCAAAGAAGGGAGAGGAGGACAAAGTATGGGCTGGGAGGGCACCCCCAAAGACTCTTAACTCTTCTAAGGGGAGCAAACACGCTTGTCTAAACACAAACCATTGTTTCAAGACACACCTAGTGGGGGACACAGAGAGGAATAAAGTTAGGGCTTTGGGGACTTGGGGGGCACTGGGAGTATTAGAAACGAGCAAATAGTATTCTCCTACCCCAAGGGGCGCTCCTTCAGGACGTGGGTCTCTCTTGCCACCCCCATGTTTACCACTGGGTACATCTGGGACGTTAGAAGAGTCACATTGTCCTGGGTGGGGAAGGTCACGGGGTCTGCACCCCGTGGTCCTCGCCCAGTGTTTCACTTCCTCACTCTCCCTGTCGCTTCCCATCCTGCAATCGATCCAGCAACTGGAGTCCGAAGTGGGCAGCTGGAAGGGTCCAGGCTATACGCACCCCCGAAGACCGAGTCCCCCAGCTCAGGGATGGAGCCGCTGCCTACCATACCCAGGCCCACCGCGAGCCGGCAGCGGTTCCAGGGGTTCCTCCTGGGCCGCACGCCAGGCTCATCTCTTGAGGTGCAGGCGGCAGATTCGGCGGCTCCAGCGCGAGCGCCTTTGAATTGCGCGCCGCGGGAGGAAACGAGAGAGAGAGAGAGAAAAAAAAAAAAAAACCTCCGTAAGCGAGGGGGTTTCAAAAGGCTCAGGAAACCACCGACGGTTAAACGCTGCATTGGGGCTCGCAGAGCCAAACGGTCTCCCGGCTTGCACCTGCTCATCTTCCCCAGGGCGATCAGGCACAGCCCAGGTGCTGTCCCAACACGCCCTCCTGTCTCCAGCCCCGACCCCGCCGAGCACACCTCTGGGCCAGCAGCTGTATGGTGCATGTTTATGCCTTTTTCCTCCCATACGCAATCCTAAAACCAGTGCCCACGTTGCGGGCCACTGGGGAGAACTAGTGCGCTTCAGACGCCCGCAAGCGGAGCCACTCCATCCCAAAGCACGCGGGCTACGCTCGCTTGCCTCCAGACTGCCTCCACCGTTCAGACCCCACCCTGGCAAGCCGGGAGTCTGCTCATTTTTCTCGCCCAGGACTGGCACACCTCGGTTCGCAGCACGAAGTTTAGCAAAGCCACTCCCAACTTCAAGAAAGCTTCAAGGCGCTTCTGCTCGAGGTTAACTAATTGCAGTGTTGTGCCCAGGCGTGCGTGACGACCTCAGTCTCTGAATTTCCATAAAGAAACTTGCTCCAAGAAACACCACTCTCAGAAGGAGACTTATCGTCTGAGTCCCCCAGCTGAGCGCGGGCCTTTTCTACATGCGTGCACAGAATCGGACGTTTGCAAACAGCGTGCAAGCTAGCGCAAGCGCGGGACTCACAAGCAGCGGCAGAAAAGCTTGATCCAAAAGTATTCTTCTCTACTCACACGAGTTAAAAAAAAAAAAAAGATTCCTATCCTCCTCCCCCTATAGTCTCCCACTAAGCCCGGGAGAAAGTTCTTCCCGTGCCCCTTCTTTGTGGCCCTGGCACCCCCAAGTCGATTCTGGACGCTGGACCTGCCCTCTAAATTCACGCGTTTGTACGTTAAAAGAAGGATGCAACTGGACTTACACTTACATTGATTCCTTCCATGGTAAGAACTCGCTCTCCAACCACGGTTGCTACCGGACTACTAAACACTGCAGACGGCAACTGCTACCTGCTGCAGCAGGCAACACAAATTGAAGTTTCTGGCCCAAACCCGACTTTTATAAAAACACGCTCGCGAGGCGGCGCATGCGCAGCTCGGGCGGGGCGGGGAGGAGGAAGGCGGGGCCGGTGCAGGGTGCAGGGCTGGAGAAGTCCGCCAGCCGCTGCTGTTCAGCTGTGGGTCACGTTGTGGGTCCCGAGCCCGGCGGACAGTGTTCCCGAAGTTGGGGAGAGCGGGATGCCCCAGAACCGAGGTGGAAAGCACGAGGCAAGGACGCTTCTCTAAGTGGTGCATCCACCCTTGTCCACGTGGATGGAATTCCAGACCTGGGGGTGCTTCAGATGGAGACCGAGGCTGGAGGGGTGGTGGTGGGTGACTTGGCTGAGTAACCTAACCAGTTGGCTGCAATGTTGGAAGCGGGGCCAGGAGCTGACTCCATTCCCAGGGGACTCAGCAGATTCACGCACGAGATAAAAAAGCCAAGGGGCACAAGTTTGTGTAACTGCACGTTCACAGTAATGACATAAGGGTCTGGTGTAGATGAGCAGACCGATCGAGAAGTAGATCTCAGGAAGAAAGTCATAATAGTGGTAACCAGTTCGTGGATGTACTTTTTTGGTAAAATTATTAAAGTGTGCTTTATTAGAAAGAGGAATTTAGCGACTAGGACTTTGTGTAACCGAGCCCAAGGGACTGGCAAAGACGCACTCGTTCCTTCTCATTTCATATATGTTCTATGCTTATAGAGATGCATCTGGTTAATTACGGAGGGTTAGCTTTAATCCACGCGCCGTTCTAGGAGCCCGGGTTTTAGCTGTGATCCCGGCTCAGCCTTGCACGCGCTCCACAGGCTCGGGGAGACCAGCCGCAAAGAATAGTACCGGACTCCCGACCGGAGTGAGCCCAAATCTCCCCTTACGCCTCTATCTGGCGTCTTTTAGGTTTTGTGACGAGCACGACGTTCCAGTATCGATGGGAAATCTGGGTGAAGAGCTGGGTCGGCGGAGATTGGACGCTTAGAATCCCAGACAGGCTGCGGTTGCAGTGGGCGGTCAGACAGCGTCCCAGCCCCGCGCCACTTCCCGCCATTGCCGAGCCTGGGTGGGGTGGGGAGCGAGCGAGGGAGGGGCAAGAACCAACGGTCTGCGGGTGAGGGACCACAGGAGCTAAGGCTCTGGCCTGCGAGGTGGCGTCAGCCAGCGGGTACATGGGTTGCCACGCAATGGAGATCCCAGACACCCCCATACTGGGATGTTCCCGAGGAGAAGACTGGCCTAGATTGTACCCTGAACTCTTACACTCTCCGCTCCCCTCGCCTTTTGAGACAATTTCTCATGTAGTCCAGGCTGGCCTCCAACTCCCTGTGTAGCAGATCTGATCGGAGCTTCTGATACCCCTGCCTGCACTTCCCTAGTGCGGGAATCACAGGCAGGCACCACTAAACCCACTTTGTGTAGTTCTGGGGCTGGAAACCAGGACTTCGTGCATGCTAGGCAAGCACTCTACAATCTGAACTATAATGCACCTGCAACTATTTTTAATATAGTGAGACCTCATGGTTTAGAGGTGCCTGGGAGGTAGCCTGTAGTCTGGGAACTCTTTCTCCGCAAAGTATGCACCATTTCCCTATGTGGCCAGGCACCCTTCTCAGTCAGTCAAGGTCCTCTTTCCACTTTGCACTTTAGAAGGTCCAAGAAATATTGGAATCAAGAGGTAGAACCCTCAAAAACTGCCAAGTTAGAACAGGAGAACTTTCATAAGCACCTTTCCGCCTCCTTCCTATCATTCATAAAACTTAAGACGCACTTCTGTCCATAAACTAGTTAGGACAGGCAGGGGAGCCGTTGGACTAGAATGTTAGACTGGTTAAAGATCGCTGCTGTTCAGGGTGGATAGCCGAATCCAGTTCGCGGTACTGAACCTCCGGTGTTCATAAAGACTAAAGCGGGAGAAGGGGAATCTTCCGAACCTGTCCCTAAAGGATAGGAGTACATTCAAAGTAAAATGACTTGCATAATTAATATTTGTTGATTGTTGGCAGACAAAAGAAGGCATCCTTCTGTGATCTGTAGAAGCCTTTTTAGGTTCTGTGAAGAGTATGCGCTGGAGGAAGTAGATAAAGGACAATGAAGTGCTATTTAGTGACTATCAAATTAGGACCCAAAAAAAAGAATTTTTTTTTTCTTTCAAAGATAATATTTGGCCTGTGGATTTGAAAAGACCAGCTGTCTCTCACTTGTCACTGATGGGAGTGTGTGTGTGTGTGTGTGTGTGTGTGTGTGTGTGTGTGTGTGTGAGTGTGTGTGTGTGTGTGAGTGTGTGTGTGTGTGTGAGTGTGTGTGTGTGTGTGAGTGTGTGTGTGTGTGTGAGTGTGTGTGTGTGTGTGAGTGTGTGTGTGTGTGTGAGTGTGTGTGTGTGTGTGAGTGTGTGTGTGTGTGTGAGTGTGTGTGTGTGTGTGAGTGTGTGTGTGTGTGTGAGTGTGTGTGTGTGTGTGAGTGTGTGTGTGTGTGTGAGTGTGTGTGTGTGTGTGTGTGTGTGTGTGTGTGTGTGTGTGTGTTTGAACAGCCTCAGTGGAAAGTATTTTGTATGCAGCAGGAACCTTTCCAGAATAGTAATTCCACCTATAGGTACATGGCCTCAGAAAAAAGCATTTGTGCCACAAAGCTCTTCATGGGATTATTGTTAACAATTATGATAATAATAATCATAATCATAATAATGGTTTGAGCAGCCCTAAATGTCCACTGTTAGAGTAGTTGAGAAGATTTTGTTATGTGTATGAAATTCAATGTGGGATGTTGCAAATGATGTTTGTGACAATTTTTTAATGATGTGGGAAATGCTTATGAAACAATACGTGCACAGGGTGAAAATGAAAGTCCCGTGTTAGTCTGTGATCTGTTATGCCAAGGTATGTCTGAGAGGACTGGGAGTGTAGTTCTGTAGAGTGTTTGCCCAGCTTGCATGAAGCCCTGGGTTTGATCCTCAGGCGGTGGGATTTCATGTAGCCCAGGCTGGCTTCAAACTCCCTATGTAGCTCAGGATAACCCTCAGCTGAGTGTGCTTCTGATCTGCCTCCACCTCCCTAGTGCTGGGATTACAGGTATTTGCCAGCACTAAGGATTGAACCCAGGACTTTGTGCATGTAAGGCAAGCGAAGCGCTCTATCAACTGAGCTACAGCCCCAGCCCTAAGATGTACTTTAAAAAAAAAAGCAAACCAAATTCAAACATTGACTGAGTGCTTGTTAGTGTAGCCAACCTGGGACAATTCCCTCCAGGCAGGTGCCCTCACAGGCCTTCTAGCTAAAGGAAGCTAAGGTCTAGTAGGGGTGGGGTGGGGAGGAGCTGGCTTTCTTCCCTCAGTGCATGTAAACCAGCTCCCAGTCTTCCCAGCTCCAAAGCCCAGGCTCTCTCCCTGCTACATCACAATGCCTTCCTTTCTCTGGCCATTGCAAACCACCCCCTGAAAGCTCCTTCCTCCACGAGGGTGTTTGGCGTTTACTTACCTACAGCTTTGAGTGACATCTCATGTGATTCAACTTTTAAAAAGCAGTGTGTCTTCTCTCCCCTAAGCATTCCAGTTTCTTTAAAGTGAATGCCCAGATCCAGCTCTCCAGCTAGCCCACTGCTGAGCAAATAATGGGCCCCTTGATTGTTTACTGAACCTTCATTTAAAGAATAAACCACTTTCCTGTGTGGCTCTGGCAATAGAGGCCAGGCTTAGGGGCTGTAGGGGCTTTGGCAGTGCCCCCAAGTTCTCAGGCTGGCCTTAGCTCAGGAAATAACTAGCCTTGGCCACAGTTTTGAGGGGGTGCTTACAAAGTCAGTGACACGGTGGCAAGCATCCTGTCACCTCCTGTTGCTCGCTCTGCAGCTGGTTGATTTCTGCGTGTGACAGAAAGCTATACTCTGTCCAAAGCAGTCTCCAAGTCAGTTAGGCAGAAAGCTTAGGAACAGTCCTCTTCCTTGGTGGCAGGCAGGAGACTCGAAAGGCCTTCGGAATATGCAGGGTCCAGAATTGGAGAGATGGATCAGTCATTAAAGTTGGAATTCATGAGGGCCTGAATTCAATCCCCTAGAACCCATGTTTTAAAAAAAAGAAAAAAAGAGCAGGGCGTGGTGGCGCACGCCTTTAATTCCAGCACTTGGGAGGCAGAGGCAGGTGGATCTCTGTGAGTTCGAGGCCAGCCTGGTCTCCATGGTGAATCCAGGACAGCTGGGGCTGCAGGGAGACCCTGTCTCAAAAAGACGGAAAAAAAAGAAAAGAAAAGAAAGAGGGGCTGGAGAGATGGCTCAGCTCAGCAGTTAAGAGCACTGGCTGCTCTTGCAGAGGATTGGGTTCAATTCCCAACATCCACTTGTCATAACTCCAGCTCCAGGGGATCTGATGCCTTCTTCTGACCTCCTCAGGCATTGCATGACACGGGAGCATTTACATACATGAAGGCAATACACTCATACACACAAAATAAAAATTTTTTTTAAAAAAGAAAAAAAAAAAACAACAACCAGGCATGGTTACACTTGAAATCCCAGCAATGAAGAGAGTGAGACAGGCAATTCTCTGGGGTTTAGTAGTCAGCCAGCCTAGCCTACTTGGTGAGTGCTAGACCAATGAGAGATCCTGTCTCCAGAAACTGAGTAGATGACACAGCCTCCCCCACTCATCAGCACCCCCCACACCATACACACACAAAGGAAAAAAAGAATATAAAGGGTCTTCCTGTCTTCTTTTGCAGTGCTGGGGATGAAATCCAGGGCTTCGTGCATGCAAGACAAGCACTCTACCAACTGAGCTACATCTCAGTGAGCCCTTCTCTTTTGTTTCTAAAAAGAAAAAAACAAAAACAAAACAAAACAAAAACCCAGATTTCCTTGATGGTTGTAGAGAATAATCAAAAAAAAGGATAAAGTTCATGTTTTCTCAAGTGATTAAAAGGAGGGAAAAAAGAGTATTTCCCAAGGGACATGCAATTCTAGCAGAGGACTGAAAATTTCAGAGACAGTGCTATCAAATATCATCTAGGACAAACG